GTATACTGTCACCCTGTTTATTTAACTTATATGCAGAGTACATCATGCTAAATGCCAGGCTGGATAAAGCACAAGCTGGAATCAAGATTGCCAGGAGAAATATCAATAACCTCATGCAGATGACACTACCTTTATGGCAGAAAATGAAGAGGAATTAAAGAGGCTCTTGATAAAAGTGAAAGAGGAGAGTGAAAAAGCTGGTTTAAAACTCAACATTCAGAAAACGAAGATCATGGCATATGGTCCCATCACTTCATTGCAAATAGATGGGGAAACAATGGAAACAGTGACAGACTTTATTTTCTTGGGCTCCAAAATCACTGCAGATGGTGACTGCAGCCATGAAGTTAAAAGACGCTTGCTCCTTGGAAGAAAAGCTATGACCAACCTAGACAGCATATTAAAAAGCAGAGACATTACTTTGCTGCCATAGGTCTGTCTCGTCAAGGCTATGGGTTTTCCAGCAGTCATGAATGGATATGAGAGTTGGACTATAAAGAAAGCTGAGTGCCAAAGAATTGATGCTTTTGAAGTGTGGTGTTGGAGAAGACTCTTGAGAGTCCCTTGGACTGCAAGGAGATCCAACCAGTCAATCCTAAAGGAAATCAGTCCTGAATATTCACTGGAAGGACTGATGCTGAAGCTGAAGCTCCAATACTTTGGCCACCTGATGTGAAGAACTGACTCATTGGTAAAGGCCCTGATGCTGGGAAAGATTGAAGGCGGGAAGAGAAGGGGATGACAGAGGATGAGATGGTTGGATGGCATCACCAACTTAATGGACATGAGTTTGAGCAAGCCTCAGGAGTTGGTGATGGACAGGGAAGCCTGGTGTGCTGTAGTCCATGGAGTCACAAAGAGTCGGACATGACTGAGTGACTGAACTTACTTACTTACTTAGGCCTACCTCTTGGAACTACTGTGATGATTAGTACAGTCTATGTATGAGAATGCATTTCATATAATGTAAGTAATACTCGGACATAAAGTATCATTCTGAAACCTATTCCTTTGAGAGAGCTCTCTAAAAGAACTCAACTCTAAAAATTTTGTTTAGGATTTAAGTCCAAGTTCTGCCACTTATAAATTTTGTGAATTTGGGGCTCAATTTCATTTTTCTGTAAAACAAGAAAAATTCACATAGATAATATGAGAATTAAATAATATTCATGTGAAAGTTATTTACAAACTGACTTGTAAAATGTAGGTCAATATTATGTTTAAATAGATAAATGACCTATTTTATACCTCTTCATTTTCTACCACATGATGCTTTCTGATCTTCATAATAAAGTGCTTTATATATTCAAAGTAAAGTGCCTATATAATAAAATGCATATATATACAAAGTGCTTTAAGTAACAGGTACCATTTACTGAGAACAGTTCTATGTGCCAGGAAATTTTTGAAGTGCCACTGGTATTATTTTTAAAGTATGCCTATTGTTAGGCAGGACAAATGTAAAGGTTGAGTGGGGGTGGTTAATCCTCAATTTTCTGACAACTTCATGTTAGTTTAACTTTTAGATGTGTTAGGTTCTATATAGCTTAGACATGGAATTTATTTCCACTGGCTGTTCTTCATAGCATTTAATCTACAGGACTCAAAACTGAATACAGTTCCTGAAGACCTTAAGAAAAAGAGAAATGGAAGCAATGCTTCTTAGTAGTTGCAAAGATCTTTTCAGTGTTTTGACTAAAATTTCTTAAACTTTTCTTTATTCTTATTCACGTGTCTGGGGGAGCTCAATCAGTAACTGCTGTTCTTTTATTAATAGTACATTGACTCAGAGTTGTTTATGGAGTTGTTTTTTCCCAGCAGTCATGATGAATTTGCTCTCTTGTAACCAATACTCTCTTATTTCTCAAGTCCAATCTGTAATATCAAAGATGTAATTGCTAGGAGACAACATATGATTAAATGGCTCATCCAGGGTAAAATTCACATCTTTCACCTAAACAGTCATACTGATAAAAGAGCATAATTACTAGAAATAACTGTATTCCAAACTATACTAGACAATATTTAAATTTTAAATTAAAAAAATTAAGAGAAGAGCTATTTTTATTTTGAAATTTTAAATTTTTGGGCAAAATGAGGGTTACTTTCACAATACTAATGGTCATATCAGTAAGTGACTATGAAAGAAACCTAAGGACAAGGTGATTTATTATGAGAAGCCCATGTCATAGATGTCATTTTATACTATTTCAGCCGAGATCACAACCTGAGAAATAGAAATATGGGTTAGAACTTTTATATATCTTAATTTTTGAAGTATTCTAGAAGAGTCAATCTCTCAGTTTGAATTGATATTTATACTTTGAAATTGCAGAGTAATGCAGTAAAAATGAAATGTGTATGCCATATTCTCATCTGCTTTAGAGGGGCAAATGCAAAAATATTCCCTCTGGGATTCAACTCAAAAATAAAAAGGAACACTCAGATTAAATTTTTATCTCTTCCTAGAAAAATATTACGTCAATACTAAGGAAAAGGAACTATAATCTGTCATTACTGAACTTATTTTAAGTTGTGTAGAACTGAACAGGGGGAAAGTGTTTTAAAAATGCTTAAACTAGTAGGAAAGAAATAAAAGACAAGAAAGTAAGCAGGGAGTACAAAGACAAGTGATTCTGAAATATAGCACGTAGAATATTGGGCTTTCCTGGTGGCTCATTGGTAAAGAATTCTCTTGCCAATGCAGGAGATGCAGGAGCCATGGGTTCGATCCCTGGGTCAGGAAGATCCCTTGGAGAAGAAAATGGCAGCCCACTCCAGTATTCTTGCCTGGGAAATCCCATGGACGGAGGAGCCTGGTGGGCTACAGTCCCTGGGGTCGAAAAGAGTCAGACATGACTTTGCAACTGAACAACAACAACAATGTAGACTATCACATCAGTTATTTAATGTGATTATGCCTAAAACATAGCTGTTAGAAAATATGCCCCCTGCAAAGAGTATCTTGCAGCATGATCAAGCTGTTAGAAAGTGAGGATCAAAATAAAGGAGGAGAAACTGTTCATTTAAGATGATTGTTACTGAAGTTCTGCTAGTTCTACGATTCTTTTTTTTTTTTAATGTGGTAAAGACATAGTTTGGTTGTGCACTTTATTTTTAAATTTTATTGAAGTGTAGCTGATTTACAAGTTTTGTTAATTTCTACTGTACAACAAAGTGATTCAGTTATACATATAGACATCCTTTTCCATTAGGTTTTATCACAGGCTATTGAATATAGTTCCCTGTGCTATACAGTAGGACCTTGTTGTTTATCCATTCTAAATGGAATAGTTTGCATCTACTAACCCCAACTTCCAGGCAATCCTCTCTCCCTCCCCCACTTTTCCTTGGGAATCACAATCTGTTCTCTATGCCTGTGAGTCCGTTTCTGTTTTCTGCGTGGTTGCGTGCATTCTAGGTCACTTCAGTCATGTCCCACTCTTTGCAACCCTATGGACTGTAGCCCACCAGGCTCCTCTGTCCATGAGATTCTCCAGGCAGGAATACTGGAGAGGGTTGCCATGCCCTCCTTAGATAAGTTCATTTGTGTCATATTTTAGAGTCTACCTATGAATGGTGTCATATGGTATTTGTCTTTCTCTCTCTGACTTACTTCACTTAGTATGATCATTTCTAGGTCCATCCATCTTACTGCAATGTCATTATTACTTTCTCTTTATGACTTAGTAGTATTCCATTATATATATGTACCACATCCTCTTTATCCATTTGTCTGTATATGGAAAATTAAGTTGTCTCCGTGTCTTGGCTACTGTAAACAGTGTTGCCGGGAACACTAGGGTGCATGTTTCTTTTTGAATTATGGTTTTCTCTGTATATATGCCCAGCAGTGGGATCGTGTACTTCATTTTTAAGGTTTTTTCCCAAAGAGAAATAAAGTGAAATTATATATATTATAGGCTGAAATAACTAAATTGATGTGAAAAAATATTTGCTTTCAAGTACTCAACCTAATGATAAAATGCTAACCAAACAAAATTCTTGTCTGTTTGTCAACAGAGAAAAAATCTATTAATGTTAAAGTAGAACCTATTTTCTATACTAGATTTTTAAAACCTGATTGTTTGTTGTTAAGTAAGTGTCAGTAAATAATAGTTCTACATAAATAAATGAATCATAAATGGAATAATAATAATTGACATAGTCAGCGTGTCTCACTTATCCTTGGAAAAACCTCGGTGATTTGTACTAGGTACTTATCACTTGGAGAGAGGACAATGGAATAGATGATTCTAAGATTCCTTTTACTATGCAAATTTATTATTAAAAAAAAACTCACTCATTGAATCATATAATAGTAGTCAGAAAAGGAAACAATGAAAAAATAATCATACTAAAATGTCACTATGATAATTTTTATAGGTTTTCTTGCTTAATGTGAATTGTTCAGAAATAATTTTTATCATGTCACCCAGTAAATTGTACAACAGTATTAATGTAACTTCATCTGTTAATCAGATGGCTGTGTAGAAACCAGATAAAAGATAGGGGTGGAATGTGCAGAGGTGTGGGAAAGGAAGGAAGAATGGGATACATAAATGGATATTACAGAATTATAGCATATACTAAGAGAGATGCCTTTCCTGGGATAAATAAAACTTCTGAAAGATTATATAGTACATCAGAGGCATTTTGTTTAATAAAAGACTAAGATAACTAGAGCTGCAGAAATACAACCAACTGTGATTCCTACAGTGAAATTTCAGAAGTTTTTGGTGGTATAATTAAGAATATTATGCAAAAGGTAATAGTCTTTCTGTAAGGACGTGCCTACTTTTATCATAAACTGCTATTGTACATGACTAGTGGCTTATAGAAGATAAAAAGAAAACAAAATTTTTAAAAAGAAAGAAGGGGAAAATAAAACTAGGAGTAAAGCATCAAATTATCTATTAAAATGCCATAACTAGATTTTTTTTCCTTCTCTCATGCACCACAATTTATGCAAATGCTGGGAAAGTTATATGGAACAGTACCTTTCTTTTAGCCTTTAGCTGCTCATGATACTTGTCACAGGTGTCCCCTGGGATCTCTCCTCCCCAGAGGGTGATTCCAACGATGGTGTATGTGATACCCATGACAAGCAATGGGAAACAGTACACCAGTATGATAACAATAATATGGTAACTGCAAGAAATAAGAAAAATACATGCTGAAGAGCATATTGGAGTAAAATAATAAGAATTTGAATTCATTCCATTTTAAGTCATAATTGAAAATGCCAATGATTACCCCACATTTTCTCTTAAGTCCTCATTTCACAATTTCACCAAAATACCTAGCTATTGGCACCTGTACTGTGTGCTGTGCTTCAGTCGTGTCCCACTCTTTGCAACCCCGTGGACTGTAGCCCACCAGGCTCCTCTGTCCACGGGATTCTCCAGGCAAGAATACTGGAGCGGGTTGCCATGCCCTCCTCCAGGGATCTTCCCGACCTAGGGATTGAACTCATGGCTTCTGCATCTCCCACACTGCAGGTGGATTCTTTACCACTGAGCCAGCAGGGAAGTCCCAGCTATTGCCATCTACAATCATCCACATACTACCAGTTTAACTTTGTCAATTTTTACTTCATGTATGAGAACCAAAGCATTCATACAGAGCTCATTTAAACTGCAAATTTCCCCTTGCCTAGAGGCTTCAGGATGAGTACTTTTCCTTTGCTTGGTAATCACTAAGCTAACCCAATTAAATAGATAATCAGAGGAAAAGAGATGGCATAGAGTAAACTGATCTACTGATACATTTTCTTCTGTGTAAAGCTATTACATAGGTTTTGCAACATCAGTCATATTTGAAATAAATCATTTTTCATCCAAAGGAAAAAAATGTAACTAGATGTTCTGAGTTATATTAGAGTTTTTTCAAAGTCATGGCACATTTGATTGCATCATTAAATTTGGTAAATAACATATGGGGTATTAGTCACGTCAAAGTCATTATACTATAAATTATCAAACTAAATTTTGGGATTTCATAGCTTTCAATAAAAATTATAAAAATATTACTATGGCAGACTAAGATGGCAGCCAATAATATAATAGCCAGATTAGAATTTGTATAAACTTTTGAGTGACTTCCACTGTCTCAGGACGGCTTTAAAGTAATTAAAGATTTTGTTATACTAATCTCAATATCTGTGTTTATTTGGTAAAGCTGTCTTCCTGATAGCTTATTAAGTGTTAAAGTCAGTGGTGAATTGATTCAGTCAACAAATAATTTAACTTTATTATTATGAATAATTTTGTTTTGCTATCATACAAATAAGATATATTAGTATTACATAATGGAAAGAATGCAGTCCTCAGTTTAATAACGGCTGCCTGCTTTTCTTTTAATAAACACTCCTCAATCTTTTTCTTTAAAAATCTGGACTCTGAGTAGAGCAGAGTTTGATAAAATATCTGCTTTAAAAGATGATCATTGTATTTGCATAATTTTTTTAGTTTTTAAAGGAAAAAAATAGATCACTAAATAAGAATTTCATTTGAAATAAAATTTAAATGGTCAGAATAAAAAGCAAAATGCAAACAATTGAACAATTGTTTTGCTAATTTGCTTTTTTTAAGGTGTGTCCAAAATATGAAATACCAAATTCTAACATATAGCATTCCTGTTTCCCTTCTGACCTAAGTTTAAGTTTTTGATGCTAAAACAAAGGAACACAACCAGGAACATGCCAAGACTGCCTTTCCTTTCAGCCAGGCTTCTTACAAGAGCAATCCACGCCTTTGGGTTTCAGTTCCACCCCTCTCACTCATTCCTTAATCCATAACAACCTGGTTTTCCTCTGTGCTTTCATCTCCGGTTATCTTATCTTCTCGGGAAACTCTCCAGAGCTACCCCATATAGAGATCATCACGTTTTTCCAATTAGAAATCATTGTAACTTATACAAACTGATCATATCATGCTGTACTATATACAAATAGTATAGTATTTTATGTGTCTTTTTTCCCAAGTAATGTTTGAGCCCTTGAGGGAACTGTCTATGTCTTATCTGCTTACCTGTTGCTCCCAACCTATAGTTCCTTCAGCGTTCAACATATTTAGTTGAAGATTATAATAGATAATTAACTTACGTGAAATGTTGTTTGGGGCCTTCTGGCCATTGCACGTAGCAAAGAGTACGGCCCGGCATGACTTTGGTTTTGGAATAAAGACACTGAGGGAATGCAAGTAGAAATGCTAGAATCCAAATGCCTCCAATAACAATCTTGGTTGCGGTGGCAGACAGTCTGGGCTTCAGGGGGTCAATAATGGCCATATACCTATATAAAAACAAACAAAACCATTTTGTTGGGTCTCTTTTTAGTGGAGTTTAAATGAGTTTCAGAGGAGTTTCAAGGGCCATGGTTACCTCTTTTCTGGTAAACGAATTGATAAAAATTTCGCTTGCATAGAGATAGCATAGAGTAATTATGGCATAGTCTTATCAATCAGGCAGATCAAGGTTCAAATCCTATTCTGTCACTCATTTAACGTTTTGAACGTCAACTTTATTATTTTTAAAATAGAAATAAGAACACCCCCTCTTAGTGGTGAAGTCTAGATCAATAGAAATAATATAAGTGAAAGGTATCGATTATTTGGTGCTGTGCCTCGCATACTATCAGAACTCTGCTGAACGGAATTGGAAAGGTGTTCATTAAGTGCTTAAAAATATGAGTTCTATATCCCAAGACCTCCATTTTTCTTGTGTATGCTTAACTTTATAAAAAGAAAATTTTAGAGAACGAATATGGATATTGTCTACATGATTGACAAAGATGAGGAATCCCTAGGAAAGATATTGTCAACATATCCATTGAAAAGCCTCCAGAGACAAAGGTCAGGATTTAGATAAGGATGAATACTCCAATTAAAATAAATAAAAAAGAAAAAAAAGATAAGGATGAATAAATCAAGTTTGACTGAGGCTATGCTGTTACCTCCAAAACTGAGCTCATACTACATCATTTAAATCTTCATAGTGTCTATGTAACTATATATAACATAATTGTTATAGGAAAATATACTTAAGGCTCTAAGAAACATAAGCACATATTATTTTTAGAGTGCAACTTTTTGGGAAATTGGAAACTCTTTGAATATGGTAACAAAAGTCAAGCTTTATTCACTTGGTAAAATAGTAAGACTATGTCTGGGAGAATCAAATTCTAGTTTTAAATTGGATAATATGGCTCATTGCCAACTTATGGCCAATAATCAGAGTAGAAAATAATGTATGTTAAATTAATTGTATCTTGGCATTCCTCTCAATAAAGCACATTATTTAATCATATTACTTTTACTGTTGGCCATTTTGTGTTTCTCAAAGGTAACAGTTTTACCAAAGAATGTATATTACTTAAACCAAAAACATTTAATCTTATGAATAAGTATTTCAAAATAAGAGTAATTCATTAATTTGCTTATTGCTCTTTGCTTTTGCAACTATTAGGTAGAACTAGGTCTTCAGTAGATATATTGGTACTTATATATTAGCTTTAGTTGTAATATTATTTATTTAATTAGTTATAATATTAGCTTTAGTTGTAATTTACCTAAAGGAAATATTCTTAATTCATTATATATGACAGCTAATGTATCTGACTCTTTGCGACCCTATGGACTGTAGCCTGCCAGGCTCCTCTCTCCATGGGATTCTCCAGGCAAGAATACTGGAGTGGGTTGCTATTTCCTTCTCCAATGACAGCTAATAGGCAAAAGTGAATGTTAGATATGACAAAATTAACCATAAAAGAGTACCTTGATTTAGGCAAATACACTGCCTAAAGAAAGAAAATAAAATGCATATGTTTGAATCTGAAAACTGTTTAAAATTCACCTCTCATGCTTATGTTGGTAAAAATTAATTCTAGCAATGTATACTGATTGCTAAGCATACCCAGGCAACTTATAACACATACATACACACACACATTGTGTGTGTATATATATGTATAAATGTATATACATATATATATTTAACATCCAGAAAAGTTCAATAAATCAAATAATACTATCTCTATCTTACAGAAAAGAAAACCTGAGGCTTAAAGTTTAAGTACATTGTTTCAAAATGTCCCAGATGGTAAGAATTGGAATTCTAAACCACCTCTGCCAATCCTTGAAGTCTATATAGGTGCGGATTATGGCTTTGAATATAACTATTCATTTAAGGAATTATGGGAAAGAAAGAGAAATATATAAGGTAGATGTCTTCCAAAGAATCAAAAGTCACATTTTGTCTGTAAATTCAAACATTTATGTATAACATTAAAGACAGAAGTCAGATATATAAAGGCAATAATTTTGGTTGGTTATTTCTGTTCCCCCTGCCATGGACCACAGCTCACCATGCCACTTTTCTCATTATATTGAAGTGTTGCTTCATGGTGTTTACAGAGTCAGACACAGAACTTATCAATAAATGTTGTATTGAACTGAATATTCCTCAATCCTATCATAATCTTTGCTTTTTTTGCTTGTCCTGGAAATGTATGAATCCGATTTGAATGTTTAGACAGTTGCTATTTTGAGACTAAAACGAGAAGTTGAGTGACATGAGTAGGTTTAAAAGTCCTGTACAGCCACTTCAGCAAGGACAATTCAAAATAAACTGCAAAGTTCTCATTTATCTTTTTTTTTTTTTTGGTCTATTAGTTTAGTGTTAGAGAAATTATTTCCTACAGGTAGAATACTGTTTCACTTAAACTGTATGGAAGCAATCAATTTATGTTCTCACCAACACTTCAGTGAAAGTAGAAATTTTGAAATTTCAAGCTGACATTTTTGTCATTTTTAACTTGATCTATTATTCATTCATTCAACCAAATATTAATTGGATACCTGCTGTAACATTCCAGACACTGTAGTGATACAACAGTGAGAAAAAATGACCTTTGCAGAACTCACAGTCAAGTGAAGTAGGTAGATACTAATCAAATAATCTCACCAATAAGTTTAAAATTACAAATATAATAAGTGTTACAAAGGCAATGCTTGTGGCTGTTTTAGTGCATTTACTGGAGAAAACATTTAGATGATCAATCAGTTCGCCCTAAGAAAAGAGTTCTGGGTTGAAACCCAAAAAGGTGACTATGCAAGGTAGCAGAAGGGTGAGGGTTAAAAAAGATTTCTGGGGAAACAAGCAACACATGGAAAATTCCTGTGCAAACGGTGGGTTTTTAAGTTCAGTTCAGTTGCTCAGACGTGTCCAACTCTGCAATCCCATAGACCGCAGCACGCCAGGCCTCCCTGTCCATCACCAACTCCCGGAGTCCACCCAAACTCATGTCCATTGAGTTGGTGATGCCATCCAACCATCTCATCCTCTGTCATCCCCTTCTCCTCCTGCCCTCAATCCCTCCCAGCATCAGGGTCTTTTCAAATGAGTCAGCTCTTCACATCAGGTGGCCAAAGTATTGGAGTTTCAGCTTCAACATCAGTCCTTCCAATGAACACCCAGGACTGATCTCCTTTAGGATGGACTGGTTGGATCTCCTTGCAGTCCAAGGGACTCTCAAGAGTCTTCTCCAATACCACAGTTCAAAAGCATCAATTCTTCAGTGCTCAGCTTTCTTTCTTTTCTTTCTCAACTCTCACATCCATACATGACCACTGGAAAAGCCATAGCCTTGACTAGATGGACATTTGTTGGCAAAGTAATGTCTCTGCTTTTTTTTTTTTTCATTTATTTTTATTAGTTGGAGGCTAATTACTTTACATCATTGCAGTGGTTTTTGTCATACATTGAAATGAATTAGCCATGGATTTACATGTATTCCCCATCCCGGTCCCCCCTCCCACCTCCCTCTCCACCCGATCCCTCTGGGTCTTCCCAGTGCACCAGGCCCGAGCACTTGTCTCATGCACCCAACCTGGGCTGGTGATCTGTTTCACCCTAGATAATATACATGTTTCGATGCTGTTCTCTTGACACATCCCACCCTCGCCTTCTCCCAGAGTTCACAAGTCTGTTCTATACATCGGAGTCTCTTTTTCTGTTTTGTATATAGGGTTATCGTTACCATCTTTCTAAATTCCATATATATGTGTTAGTATACTGTAATGTTCTTTATCTTTCTGGCTTACTTCGCTCTGTATAATGGGCTCCAGTTTCATCCATCTCATTAGAACTGATTCAAATGAATTCTTTTTAATGGCTGAGTAATATTCCATGGTGTATATGTACCACAGCTTCCTCATCCATTGGTCTGCTGATGGGCATCTAGGTTGCTTCCATGTCCTGGCTATTATAAACAGTGCTGCGATGAACATTGGGGTGCACGTGTCTCTTTCAGATCTGGTTTCCTCGGTGTGTATGCCCAGAAGTGGGATTGCTGAGTCATATGGCAGTTCTATTTCCAGCTTTTTAAGGAATCTCCACACTGTTTTCCATAGTGGCTGTACTAATTTGCATTCCCACCAACAGTGTAAGAGGGTTCCCTTTTCTCCACACCCTCTCCAGCATTTATTGCTTGTAGACTTTTGGATAGCAGCCATCCTGACTGGTGTGTAATGGTACCTCATTGTGGTTTTGATTTGCATTTCTCTGATAGTGAGTGATGTTGAGCATCTTTTCATGTGTTTGTTAGCCATCTGTATGTCTTCCTTGGAGAAATGTCTGTTTAGATCTTTGGCCCATTTTTTGATTGGGTCATAGAAAATAATAGCAAATGAAGCAACAGACAAAGGATTAATCTCAAAAATATACAAGCAACTCCTCTGTCTCTGCTTTTTAATATGGTATCTAGGTTGGTCACAACTTTCCTTCCAAGGAGTAAGCGTCTTTTAATTTCATGGCTGCAGTCACCATCTGCAGTGATTTTATGGGTTGAATTATGTCCCCCTAATTAAAGATACATTCAAGTCCTAATACCCAGTATCATAGGAGGTGACCTTGTGAGGAAATAGGTTTTATATAGGTAATCAAATTAAAATAAGGTCATCAGGATGGGCCCTAATTCAGTATAAGGTATAAAGGAGAATTCTGGAAACAGAAACACAGAAAGAATGCCACCTGAATATGGAGGACTGAGTGATGTGTCTGAAAGCCAAAGAATGCCAAAGACACCAGCAACCCACCATAAGCTAGGAAGGGCAGGCAGAATTTCTTCATAGGCTTCAGAGGAGCATGACCCTTGCCAACACCTTGATTTCAGACTTCTAGCTTCCAGAAATGTGAGAAATTTCTGTTAAGTCACCCAGTTTGTTCTGGTTTGTTACAATTTGATAGGTAAGGGTGGGAGAACCATGTGCAGTTGAGGAACTGAAGGCTAAAGTC